GGGGATGATGGCTCAAGTACTTGAGTTCCTGCCACCCACGTGAGAGACTGGGATGGAGTTCCTGGCTCCTAGCTTCTGCCTGGCCAAGCCCTGGTTGTTCTGGTTCTTGGAGGCATTTGGGGAGTAAACCAGTGGACAGAAGATTCTCTCTCTCTCTTAACTCTGCTTTTCAATAATATAATTTTTTTGACAGGCAGAGTGGACAATGAGAGAGAGACAGAGAGAAAGGTCTTCCTTTATCATTGGTTCACCCTCCAATGGCTGCCGCAGCTGGCGCGCTGCAGCTGGCGCACTGCGCCAATCGGAAGCCAGGAGCCAGGTGCTTCTCCTGGTCTCCCATGTGGGTGCAGGGCCCAAGCACTTGGGCCATCCTCCACTGCACTCCCGGGCCACAGTAGAGAGCTGGACTGGAAGAGGGGCAACAGGGACAGAATCCGGCGCCCCGACCGGGACTGGAACCCAGTGTGCCGGTGCCGCAGGCAGAGGATTAGCCTAGTGAGCTTCAGCGCTGGCCTATAATATAATTTTTTTTTTTTAAGAAAAGTCAGGTGAATATTTCTGTCTCCACTTGACAGATGAGAAAACTGAGGCCCGGAGGTGTTGGAAAGCCACTTGACTGATTGAGGTCCCACAGGCTGTCAGTGGAGCTGGGACCAGTGACTCCCAGGCGGGTGATTGAAGCCTGAAAAATGCTAGGGCTGGCGAGGGCTGGGTGCCAGGTTCCAGCTCGGAACTTGCACCCTGGCCCTGGGAACCCTTGGGCATGCACCTTGCACCTTGCCGTTGTTAGGCTGCTCTCTGCCTTTGTACATTAAGGTGTGGGACTGAGTGACCTGCTGGGCTGGTGCAGATGTCCAGGTGCTTTGCCTTGTTGTGGTCTTCCTTCCTGTGCCCCCTGGAGAGAACAGAGGAGGAAGCTTGGAGCCTGAGTTGAAGCCAGGGACCTGAGCTGTCCAACCCTGGGGTGCTGGTCCCAGTCCAGTGAATATGCATCCCTTCCCCCCTCCCCTCTGCACCCCAGGGCACTGGGGGGGATGGTTATCGCAGGGGCCTAAGCAAGAGGCATGCATGCAAGTGGATCCATCAGGGGAGGGCTGATGGGACTGGGGGGAGGACAGAGGCTACCATGGAAAAGTGGGATGAGAGGGAGATGCCAGGGCCTTGGCAGAGGCAGGGTGCCCAGAAGGAGGTAGAGATAAAGCCCAGGCTGCAGATTAGCTCTGGGATTAGCCCAGCCTGGCCTCCGGCTGCTCCTGGCTGCTTCTTATCTCCTGGAGGCCCAGGGCCCTCTCTCCTCACAGCTCAGAGCCCTGGCCTTGCTAATTGCCTGTTAACCCTGTGGACTCTGACTGCAGGGAGAATGAGGGGCTGGGGCGGGGGCGGGGGCGGGGCTGGAGTGGGGCGAGTGCCAGCCTGCCAAGAGCTTTCTGGAGAAATGGGAGCTGTAGGTGGATGGAGCTCCCTGGGCTCAGAGAAGCCATCACTCAGAGGAGTGCACTTTGGACGGGTCTGTCCCAAGCTCTGATCTCAAGCAGAGCTGGGGAGGGGGGAGAAGAGCTGGGGGGAGGGCACGTGGGGAGGAGTTACTGGCTCAGAGTGCAGCAGGAACCTCCGCCCCAGGAAACAGTCCAGGAGGAAGATGAGAGACAGAGGAACTGAGGATGGATAAATGGGAGAGAGATGCAAAGCGCCAGGGGTGGCCAGGCCAGCAGAGGGCTGGGGCAGAGAGTGTGCAGGTGGACAGTAGATTGGGAGCTGGGACAGATGGGCCGATGGCATGAAGAAGCACTTGAGAAACAGGCTAAGATGTGCAAACAGACGCTGGGGAGACAGACCCAGGCCGGGGCCCACGGCGGGTGGAGGGCTGGCCTGGGGGAGGTGGGGAGATGCTTAGGCCCTGCCTGCAGGGCCACGTGGTCCCGTCTAGAAGCTGTCCAGCCTCGGTGCCCAGGAGGCTCATGGAAGCCCTGTGCTCAGGCTGGGAGCACAGCAGTGAGGCGGGGGGGGGGGTGTCTGAGGCAGGGACAGGGCTGGTGGTGGTGGGGTCTGCGTGTAGCCCCTGTGCCCACCAGGACACTCCTGGGTCTGGGGCCTGCCCCTTTCTGTGACTGAACCCTGGCCTCCCAACTCTTGCACAGGGCTGTGTGGGGCCAGTGTGGGGAGGCAGCAGCGGCCAGCCGGTGGGACCTTGTGGCTGAGCAGCCGTGCCGTCTCCATGGAAGAAGCCGTGGGCTGTGCTGCCACCAGAGCTCTGCCACTTAGGAGCTGGCGGCTCTGTCGCCGCTGCCTGGCCCAGGGACTGTCGCCGGGGCAACGCTGTGCTCTGCCCAGCAGTGGGCTTGACCCGGGCCGTGCAGGGAGCTTGGTCCTGCTGGTCAGGCCTGGCTGTTCCCTACAGAGGAGCCCTCAGATGTGGGTTACTTCACGCCCCGCCCCGTGTCACCCCCACCTCGGGGGCCTATGTGCGAGGCCTCCACCCCGTGCTGCCTGGGCTGGGCTCCGTGTGGGTCGGAGGTATCAAGGTCCCAGCCCCAGCCAGGGTCCCAGTGCCCCAGGCTGTTCCTGCCCTGCACACGCACCAGGCGTTCGGCACTACACTTGGGGCAGGTTGACCCGCCTGTCACTTCCTTGCTGTGTGCCCAGGGCAGACTTGCTTTCCTTCTCTGAGCTTCCGCTAGCTCATATCTGGGAGGGAGGGGTACAACAGGACTCAGCTCCCCAGGGAGCGGCATGAGGCTGAGATGTGGAGAGACCATGGCACAACCTGGCATTCTGGACTCTACCGAGGTGGTGCCGATCGCCAAGGGGATGCGAGTGAGCCGCTACACGGGGTCCTCACACAGCCCACGCCTTGCCTAGCCCCTCCCCTCGAGCGTACATGCACAGCTGGCTGCATCCAATTCCAGCATCTTCTAGGCCCCAGTTAGGAAGAGACTGGGCACTTTGAGATGTGAGCAAATACTTAGAGTCCCCACATCTGCCCTCCCCACACCAGCAGGGACCCCGGGGGATCTTGCACCCCACCCGTTGCAGGTTCCCCCTACATCCAGCAGCACGGGGTCAGCGCACACGTCCGGGGTCAGGGTGGTCCTGCCGGATTCTTGCCCCTTTGTGTAGCGCCTTTTCTGAGGGCCCAGGCTGGGACAACACAGAATCAACCTAGAATCTCAGCTCTGCCCCACCTTCCTCCCACCCATTAAATCAGACTTCTCGCTTTCAGAAGACGCCCTGGGGTATGGTGTGCACATTAGAGTTTGAGAAGCACGTATCTTGGGAGACAATCAGCCTAATCCTCCTGGTCTCAACGTCCTCATCTGTAGAATGGGGAGATAATAATACCGGTATCATAGAATAGTGAGGTTTCAAGCATTCAGAACAGTGCCTGGGGCACTCAGCCATTCCCACTCCTCCCCAACACACACACAGCAGAGAGTGGGGGCAGGGCTGATGCAGGTGGGAGTGAAGGACTTGAACCCAGGTAAGGAATTGAGATGCAGCAGAATTGGAGCGGCAGGTGCACAGGAGAGGGGCAGACGGAAGGGGAGGAGCTGGGTGGCACATGCCTTTCTCAGCTCACCGGGGCCGAGGCAGGAGCTGAGTCTCAAGGTGGATAGGCTTGGGCGGGAGATGCCAATACTGCGGTGGGGAGAGGGGCCTGGCCTCCCGCTGCCTTCCCCGGCTCGGCTCACTGCCTCGTGACCTAGGGCAGGTCCCCTCACCTCTCAGAGCCGTCGGGGATAATCGGGATGATTAAACCTATCCAGCAGGGGCTGCAGAACAGGAGGAAACGGGGCAGCGCTGAAATCGGCGGCGGGGTGGCTGGGTGACAAAGGAACTGCAGGAGCGGGGCTCGGGCCACAGGCCCCGGGGTGCCGAGGCAGGGGATAACCGTGCGTCGCTTCTGGAGCTCGGCGCCTGGGAACTCTCCCTGCAACCCCGCTTCGGGCCGCTCCTCCCAGCTCTTGCCGTGCGAAACTGTTCCCAAGGAGAGGGGCGGGGGAGCGCCAGAGTGATTGAGTGCGCCGACCCCTTGCCCCCGGGAAGGTGCTGCCTGTGATGGGTTTGACCCAGGGGCTCGTCTCTGTGGGGTGAGCCTGGCAGGCGGGGCGGGAACTAGAATCCACTTCTCGCTCAACCTCTCCCAACCCCAGCAGCGCCAGCAGCCGCTTCCATATCCGGGGCGTCGGCGCCACCTGGCGTCCATGCAGGAGAACGCTCCGCGGAGGGAAAGGGAGCTGAGTTCCCGCGCCCCAGTGACCCGCAGCTTACAGAAACTGTCTTGTGTCTTGCTCTGGGCCAGGGGCAGGCCACACCCGGCAGACTCCCCGCCCCCGTGCAGCATGCATTCTAACTCGGGGTGGGGCATGCACAGTGGGACAAGGAGACAAGTAGATGGACAGACTGTCTCAGGTCAAACTCGTGTGTGTGGCAGGCGCCACTAGGATCCCAGGTGTACTGAGTGTGACATCAGGCTTGGCTAGCCATGGTGTGTGTGTGTGTGTGTGTGTGTGTGTGTGTGCACCCTTCCAGGAGAGGGACTAACACAAAGACCCAAGGAGGCAAGGGCACCACGTGTTGTGGCGTTTGTCACAGAGCCTGGGGGTGGAGTGGTAGGAGAGGCAGGCAAGGGTCGCATCACAGGAGACTGCGGCTAGGGGAGGAGTTGTATTTCATTCTCTGGGAAATGAGAAGTCACTGTTACAGATTTTCTTTAAGTTGGATTTTGTATATTAGCGGTTTGCAACATGATAAGGGGAATGACAGGTGGCAAAGGCCAGTGGGGGCTGTGACTGGGTGTGAGCACTTTGGAAAGAGCAAGCCAGCTACTGTGTGGGGATGAAGGCCACGGAAAAGATGGAGTTCATGGGAGAGGGGGGCTGGAATCCCTTGTTGGGATACAGGATGGGGTGTCCAGGCAGGTCTGGTAGTCCTCAGTGGGGGACGGGGACCTGGCAGTGGTCTTAGCCCCTCCTCCCCTGCCCCTTCTCCCCGACTCCCAGGTCTACACTCGATACGGAAAGTGTTACACCTTCAACGCGGATCCACAGAGCTCGCTGCCCAGCCGGGCAGGGGGCATGGGCAGTGGCCTGGAGATCATGCTGGACATTCAGCAGGAAGAGTACCTGCCCATCTGGCGGGAGACAAGTACGTTGTGGGGGGAGGGGCAATGGCCACCCTGGGCACGCGGGCCGGGTGTGCACGGGTCTCTGTCTCCATGTGCAGATGAGACGTCGTTCGAGGCGGGCATCCGGGTGCAGATCCACAGCCAGGAGGAGCCACCCTACATCCACCAGCTGGGCTTCGGCGTGTCCCCAGGCTTCCAGACCTTCGTGTCCTGCCAGGAACAGCGGGTGAGCGCTGCCAGCTGGGCCCTGGGTCCGGCACGGGGCTCAGGCCTTTGGGCTCTGAGGGGCTGCTGACCAGCTCTGCCCTCCGGAAGCTCACAGCTTGCCCACACCCAGATCCCACGAACTCTGCTGGGGCCGGAGGCGCACTGGTGGGCCGAAGAGGGGGATCATGATCGTGGCCATGGCCTTATCGTCCTCCGCCTCTGCAGCTGACCTATCTGCCCCAGCCCTGGGGCAACTGCCGGGCCGAGAGTGACCTCAGGGACCCTGAGCTTCAGGGCTACACAGCCTACAGCGTGTCCGCCTGCCGCCTGCGCTGTGAAAAGGAGGCCGTTCTTCAGCGCTGTCACTGCAGGATGGTGCACATGCCAGGTAGGCACCCCAGCCCCCAGCCCGCCCCCAGCCCCCCTGCCAGGCCACAGAGCCCTGGGGCAGAGTGCTGCTCATGTGCATGGCTGGCAAACGTGTACAACACGTGTGCATGTCCAGACCCCTGGGAGTGTGCTTGGTCTTTTGTGGGTGTTTGCGACTCTGCACGTGGGTATGCACGCCTCCATGAGCTTGTGGGTGTGTTAATTTGTGTGTGTCCACGCGTGGGCTTGTGTATGTCTGTGCTTGTGTGTTTGCGACAGTTGTGAGCATTTGCTCAGATACGTATATACAGATGTTTGCACATGCGTGCTCGTAAATGTATTCATGCTTAAAATGCATGAGCAGGTGTACCGTCCATCTCATTCATATATGCATTTGTGCTTAAATGCATGAGCAGGTGTGCTGTCCGTCTCTGTGTGTATTTGCATACATGCACATTCGTGTGCATACATGTGTGTGTGTGCCCCCATTAGGGCACGTGCCGGGGCAGGGGAGGGACTGTAGATTCCAGGAATAATTCTCTCTCCTTTCAGGCAACGAGACCATCTGTCCTCCAAACATCTACATCGAGTGTGCTGACCACACACTGGGTCCGTGCTGCCTGCCCCTCCCCTGCCTCTCCATCACCCTCTCCATGTCTCTGTCCATCTTCCTCCTCGGTGTGTTGCCTTCTCTCCTCCTGATCTCTCCCTGGAGGGTTCTTCCTGGGGGTTGGGCCTTATCCCATTCCTCAGGGGGGGTCTGAGGACCTCTGCAGGTGCAGACACTTGGGTAAGTGGAGGCAACGAGGAGGGGGGTTGCAGAATTCAGGGTTGTGAGCGAAGGCCTGGGCTTTGGTTCAGCCAAAGAGTTCACCTTCTCTGAGCAAATGAGACGCCCACTCTCTTGGTCTCAGGGCGAAGGCATTGCTGGCTGGCATTGTGGGTAAGGCAAACCCCTCTGTCCACAGGTCTCTCCTGATCTGCAGTTTATCCATCCACCCATCTACCCATCCATCCATCCATCCATCCATCCATTCATTGATGCATTCATTCTCCAAACTGGTCCAAGCCTGTGTTGGGTGCTGGAGGTGAGAGTGGGAGTGAGAGCCTTGCCTTGCAGGGCTTGCAGCCTGCCAGACTGTGGACAGGGATTGCCACATATTGTGGCTGAATGAGGGTAACCTCAAGGAGGCTACAGGGTCCCAAGGTGGGGCAGGCAGCGCCAGCCTGGGGAGGCTTCCTGGAGGAAGTGACGCAGTAGCGGAGGCTCCAAGGGCATGTTAGAGTTTGCTGGGTGCTGAAGGCAGTGTGTACTGCAAGCCTTTTGGCCAGAGAGAGCTCACTGTGTCTGGGGCACCAGAAGGGTGGAAAATGGGGAGAAGTGGAGAGTGGCGGAGGGCGCCCTGGGAAGCCCACAATGGCTGCAGGTGTGTGTGAGCACACGCGGCTGCCGGTGCGGTAGAAAGTGTTTGAAAGTGCGGTAGAAAGTGAGGAGTGTTTGGCAAAGGAGCAGCTGTGTGAGCAGGGCTAAGCGAACAGCAGAGATGGGGATGGTCCACAGAAGGAGCCCCCCTCCCGAGCCTTCCTCCCCATCAGGCCTGGAGGGGGACAGGGACAGGAGCACTGTGGGACCCACAGAGAGACCTGGGGCATCCCTGAGGGCTGGCAGTGCAGAAGCCTCCTCTCCCGGGCACCCCTGCCCTCCGATACTGCTGGGGCCTCGCATCGGCCAAAGCCGGGTGATGAGAATGTCTGAGGCGGGTTCTTGGCAGAGGCCAGCCCGATGGGACCCAGAGCAGGTGAAAGGGGGTGCAGAGGAGCCAGCACACCGAGCATGCGAGTCCTGTCTGCCCGCTTGATCTTCTGTCCCTCCGTCCCTCTGTGCGTCCGTCTGTCCACCCATCCCAAGCATCTTCTCCATGCCCCCTCGTGTGTCGGAGGCCCCACATGGTTGACTGGCTTCAGGGATGGCACTGCCCTCCCTCTGAGGCCTGAGGACCTCCCTTCTCTCAGGGGCAGGGTGGGAGGCTGGGGGGGGGGGTCCTGCCTACTTCTGCTTTCTTGGGGACCCTGAAGTGGATCCAGGAGGGCCCCCCATGACTATTGTCCTCTAGGAGTGCAGGGCTGGCCAGTAAGGGCCTGAGGCTGCTGGGCAGCCCCTCCCCCACTGCAGTTGGTGCCTGTGTGTTGCAGACTCGCTGGGAGGGGGCTCCGAGGGCCCGTGTTTCTGCCCCACTCCCTGCAACCTGACCCGCTACGGGAAGGAGATCTCCATGGTCAGGATCCCCAACAGGGGCTCAGCCCGCTACCTGGCGAGGAAGTACAACCGCAACGAGACGTACATACGGTAGGGGCCTGTGTGTGTATGTGTGTGTGTGTGTGTGTGTGCGTGCGTGCATGGTGAGTCTTCTGCCAGGAGTAACACTTACAACCTTCTCTTTCTTCTATAAGAGTTGTATTTACTCAAGAGAGAGACAGCGAGAGGGAGAGACAGAAAGAGAAAGAGAGAGCTTCCATCTGCTGCTTCACTCCCCAAATGCCCGCAACAGCCAGGGTTGGACCAGGCTGAAGCCAGGAGCCAGGAACTCCATCAGGGTTTTCCATGTGGGTGACAGGGGTCTAAGCACTTGGGCCATCCTCTGCCTTCCCAAGTGAATTAGCAGGGAGCTGGATCTGAAGTGGAGTGAAGACTTGAACCCACACCCTCTGATACGAGATGTGGGCATCCCAAGCAGTGTCTCAACTGTTGGCCCAAACACCTGCCCCACAACCCTTCTCTACCAACTAACTATCCATCAGTAGTCACATCATGTGCTTCCACCTCCAGGAGGAGGCCCCCAATGCCTCTTTTTAAAAATTTATTATTTATTTGAAAGTCAGAGTTACACAGAGAGGGGAGAGGCAGAGAGAGAGGTCTTCCATCCACCAGTTCACTCCCCAATTGACTGCAATGGCCAGAACTGCACTGATCCAAAGCCAAGGGCCAGGAGCTTTCTCCAGGTCTTTTCATGCTGGTGCAGGGGCCCAAGGACCTAGGCCATCTTCTTCTGCTTTCCCAGGCCATAGCAGAGAGCTGGATTGGAAGTGGAGCAGCCAGGTCTTGAACTGCTGCCCATATGGGATGCTGGCACTGCAGGCATCAGCTTTACCCACTATGCCACAGTGTCCCCCCCCACCATGGCTCTTGTCTGAGCTCCATGCACCTGTGCACAGTTCTGTCACTGCCTGTACGCTTTGTTGCAGAGTTTTGCTCGCTCAGCCACCTGGGAACTGTGAAATGCATGTGAACCGGGCGGAAGGAACAGGGCGGGAAGGGACAGGGACAGAGTGGCCTGCAGCAGGCGCCGCCCTGAGTCTTGGGTCTGACACCCAGCAGCTGAGGAAGTACAGAGCACGATCTGGGGGCCAGGCCCAGGGCTGTGCCGCGTGGGGAGAGATGATGATGATGCCAACCCCATGGCAGGGCTGGCCCAGGTCTGGTGATATAGAACTGAGTCCCAGGCCCTGGTGGAGAGGGGAAGCAGGAGAGGCAAGAGCTGGGCCTCTCAGCACCTGGGCTTGCAGGAGGAGGAGAGAGGGGAGGCATCCGGTGAGACACCTGTGGGAGGGTGTAGGGAGGAGCTTGTGTGGAGAGAAGCAGAGAAGAAGGTTTGGGTAGGAAGATCCAGGGAGCAGCGATCCTGGGCAGTCCAGAAGAAGAATTTTGGAGTAGACTGATGGGCAGTAGGGAGCCAGTGAAGGTTCTAGAGATGCCCAAGGATGGGGCCAAGTGAGCACTATTGGCTGCTTTAGAGGAGCCTTCAGGCCTAAGGGGTGGGCACCAGCTCCCCATTCAGGGGCTCCCAGTCAGGATCCGCTGGTGCCGCGAGAACACCCGGCTTCCTGTCCCCGCAGGGAGAACTTCCTGGTCCTGGATGTCTTTTTCGAGGCCCTCACCTCTGAAGCCGTGGAGCAGCGAGCAGCCTATGGGCTGTCAGCCCTGCTGGGTGAGCCGGCCGCCAGCCCCTGGCTCCCGTGGGGGTTGCTGGGCCAAATCTTCCCTCTCTGATCCTGCTGCTCTGCTCCCCCAGGAGACCTTGGGGGCCAGATGGGCCTGTTCATTGGGGCCAGCATCCTCACGTTGCTGGAGATCCTTGACTACATCTACGAGGCAAGGGGGCCGGGGGAGGGGGCAGTGGGAGGGGAGGGAAGGGGACAGCGGGAGCTCCTGGAGGAGCTGGATTGGCCTCAGTAGTCGATTGCTTGCCAGGGAGACTCCCGTCTCTCCCGCTGGCCAGAAGGCCTGGGGACGCTGAGGAATCAGAAGATGGCCCAGGAGGCTGGGGCAGTGCTACCAAGTCCTTGTCCTCTCTGTGCGCTGTGCGGGGTAGTGAGTCCGCTCCCGGCCTGATTTCCCGGGCCCACTGCCATCTCCTGCCCCAAGGTGTCCTGGGACCGGCTGAAGCGGGTATGGCGGCGGCCCAAGACCCCTCTGCGGACCTCCACTGGGGGCATCTCCACCTTGGGGCTGCAGGAGCTGAAAGAGCAGGTGAGGGCCAGCTGGGAGAGAACTCAGCGCAGCCGGCGCCCGCCCCAGGCCTCAGCGCCCCCTGGCCTGCGGGAGGGGTCCCGGGCTGGCTGCAAGTCCTCGCTCCCTTTCATCTTGTAGAGCCCCTGCCCTGGCCGAGGCCGTGCTGAGGGCGGGGGCACCAGCAGCCTGCTCCCCAACCACCACCACCCCCCGCACGGGCCCCCAGGCGGCCTCTTTGAAGACTTCGCCTGCTAGGATGGCGTGGAAAGGACCCAGGAGTCTGGAACCTCTCCCCCAGTGCCAGCCCTGTCTCCTCCTGCTCCTGGGAGCCAAGGCCTGGGCCGGCCAGGGCCTGCCGGGAGGGGTGGTGCTCACGGAGAGGACCAGGACTCAGAACTCTGGCGTCAGCTGCTTTGCACAAGGGTCCCTCTTGGCCACAACCCCACAACCCCTACCCCCAGGCTGCAGCGAGACCCTGGGGGAAGGGAGGGAACAAGGGAGGTGGAGCCTGCCCAGCAGGGGTGGAGCCCTCTGTACACCTGTATATATTTAGGGAGGTCAGGGTGGGGGTGGGGTACCCATGTAGAAGGTGGGTGGGGCTATAGGGGTGGGCAATTCCCAGACAGCCAGGGTCCTGGTCCAGGCATTAGCAGAGGGCAGGCCCCCAGGACTCAGGAGTGCTGGGCTGGTTCTACCTGGGGCCCTGCTCCTCTCGCCATGGGGAGTGGGTGGCCCAGCAGGCCTGGCCCAGCTCCCAGCTCCCCCTGCACCAACTCCACCCTCCACGGGGAGGGGGCAGGAGACCCTGCAGACCTTGGCTAAGCTTGCCAGGTAGGGAGGGAGCCTTCTCAGCCCTTTCTCCCTCCAGGCTAGTTTCATAAAGTGCTGACGAAATTGGGAATAAAGAGGCATAAAGAATTCTCTGTGTGTGTGTGCGCGCGCACGCGCGCTGGTGACCAAGGGTGGGGTGGGGTAGGGGCTGGGCACATGTGTGACGTGCTTCCCAGTAGAAGGAACCACTGGCCCCAGTAGGGGTGGGGGTGGGAGGGCTCCATCCTCCCACTCCCCCTCTCCCACCAACACCCACCTTTCAACAACTCAGTCACAAGTCCACACTGAGCCAGTTTATTAAAGGGGGGGGAGCTTCATCGGGGTCCAGAAGCGAGAAGTTGGGGGATGCCCCACCCTCTTCTGTCAGCTCCCCCTTCTCCAACATCTCGTCTGCAGCCCAGCCCCCAGGGCCGGCCCCCAGGCAGCAGGGCTGGCGTCAAGCAGAAGGTACTGCATAAATACAGAGGCCACAGCCCGAATCAGCAGCGTCAAGGGGGCGGGGGGCGGGGAGACCGGACTTGGGGCACCGATGGGGTGGCTCTGGGAGTACCTGCCCCAAGGTTTGTCCTGAGCCCCGGACCTGCAAAGCCAGAGAGAGGGACCCGTGGCTGTGCTGGGGCCTGAGGCTGCAGCCAGCCGTGTCCCAGGGGCTGGCAGGGGGGCCCTTGGTTGTGGGAGAGGAGCAGGGTGGGGTGCGGCTAGGCCAGGGCGCAGGGGCCCTGGGCGGGTCAGGTGCTGTGGCCCTGCTCTTGTTCGAAGAGTAGCATGGCCAGCTGGGTGCGCGAGCCCAGGCCCTCCAGCACGCTCTGGCGGCAGCGGTGGTACAGGTCCTCGCTGAGCCGCGCGCTGCACGTCTGGGCGCGGTAGTGCTGCAGCAGCGCCGGCTCCACGGCCCGCAGCACGTGCAGGCTGGAGTAGCGCAGGAACAGCTCGTACACGTCCAGGCTCTCCAGTAGCTCCTCCTCCTCCTGCTCCGCGGCGGCTGCCAGCCGCCCACGGGCCGCCACGTAGTCAGAGTTGTAGAAGCAGGCCTCGCTGGCCGCTTGGCGGTCGAAGTGACCTGTGTCCCGGCCCAGCTCGGGCGGCCCCGGCCCCTGAGGCGGGGCTACGGCCGGGTGGAAGGCCTGGAAGTGCATGGGGAAGAAGGCCTGCCAGCCAGAGATGGCGTGCATGCGACAGCGGTTCAGGAAGTCGGGGGTGAGCACCGTGTCCGGCCCGGCCAGCAGGAACAGTGTGTCCAGCGGGTGCTTCTTGGAGAGGAGATCCATGAGGCGCAGGGGGGCAGGCACGGCCGTCTGCACGCTGAGCCAGGGCACCCGCGCGCCGGGGAATCGCCGCTCCAGCTCAGCCACCTGGGCCTTGACGGGTGCGAAGACGTCCGAGTGCGCGGCACGCTGAGCCTGGCGGGGCTCGTACAGCAGCAGCAGGGTCAGGGCTGCGGCGTCCCCGGGCTCCAGGGCCGCCGTGGCGAAGGCCTCCAGGAAGCCGGCGGCCAGGTCACGCTCCGCCGCGGCCAGAGGCAGCAGCACGGTGAGGCGTGAGGCCTCGGTGACATAGGGCACGGGCAAGATCTCCACGCGGCTCAGGGGCCGGAGCAGCTGCACCCGGCGGGTGAGGGGCCGGCGGCCGCCCTGCGGGGTGAGCGCCTCCAGCTGCAAGTCCAGCGTGTACTCCATACCCCGCGCCGGGTCAAAGCGCCGGTAGCCGTTCACCAGCTGCTGCTTCTGGAGCCGCAGGGCCGGGTGGTAGCGGCGGTTGAGCTCCTCCAGGGCGGCTCCCAGTACGTCGGCCACATCCGCCCGATCGGCCCCACGCAGCGGGCAGCGGGGCGAGCCGTCGGCACAGGAGAAGGCGTGCTGCTCCGTGAAGTAGTCCCAGCGCAGCACCTCGAAGCGGGACGCCGGCCGCGAGGGCGCCGGGATCCCCACGGGCCAGGCGGTGGCCCGCTCCCGGTCAGCGGCCAGGCGGCTGGTGTTTTGGATCTCCCACTGGGCGGAGAAAAGAGGCGGTGAGCAAGGCCGAGGCCACTGGGGCCAGCACACAGCCAGGGGCCGGGGAGGCAGCAGGCGCCCCTCGGCGACCACGGCTGCCCACACAGCGCCCCCAGCTGTTGTCCCCTGAACAGAGGATGCCTAAGAGGTAAAAGGGGGAGGGGAGGGGCTTCTCACGGCTCCTCGAGGGGGGAGCAGACAGGCTGGGAGGCAGGTCCCCAGGGATCTCCCACACCTCTCAGACTTGCTCCCTCCCAACCCGTCCCTCCGCCCCCCCAGCCCCAGAGGTACCTGCAGCTCCCGGATCTCCTGGTAGGTGCGCTCCAGCTCAGCCCGGGCAAAAGCCTTGTGCAGCTGGTACATGTGCACGGGGTCACGAACCGGGTGGGCTGTCAGGGCACTGCGGAATCGAGGGTCTCCTTCCTGTACGGGCTCCCCAGGGCTCAGCTCCAGGTAGCTATAGTGCACCCCCTGCGGAGAGCAAGGGAATGGGTTGTGATGGGAAGAATGACAAGATCCCCTCCCCCAACCTCACGGTCATCCTGGGGACATGCAGTCAGCCTTCTGTGGGATGAAATCTGCCTTGTCTGGTACTGAGCCTGCGTGGCCCAGAGCAAGCCTCTGCTAGCTCGTCTGTGAAATGGGCAGAGACCTGTCTCAGAGGGCCTCAGCAAAATAATAGCCGCCACTCAACACCCACTTGCTCAAGGTTGCCTTGTTTTCCCTAATCCTTATAGCAACCCTGAGCCATGGTGATTCCCACCAGTCCGAGGCTGGAGCACAGGAGATTTAAGTCATTTATCCAAGGTGACAGGGAGAGGCAGTGACGGGCCTGGCATGGAACCCTAGGCTTGTGTCTCTGCCACCCCTTAGCTTCCCAGGGCGCAGTGAGAAAGCTCACGCTGGAGACGCCACTGCTCCTACCTCTTGGTCACCAGTGCAGCCCACTCCGGTGGCATCCAAGATGCAGCGTCCCAGCCACTCATCCGGGCGGGCGCTGACGATGTCATTGCGGCAGCCTTCCAGGTGGGGGCGCAGCTGCTGCAGCAGGGTGCGCGACAGCATCACACCAAAGCCGCCGTGGCAGTAGCGGCCTGGGGTGGGCTCTCCACCGATGAACTCCTGGGGCCGGCCCAGATAGAGGTGGGCAGCGGTGGCCAGGCTGAGGCGGCCGGCGAGGCGTGCCAGTCCGTGTGCCTCGGTGTAGGTGGTGTCAGGGACTAGGAAGAACCAGTCAAAGTCATCGCCGTGCTGTTCCAGCAGGTGGCGCAGCGCCAGGTGCAGGTGCCCGATGGGCCGCTCCTCCCCCAGTGTCACCACGGCCATGCCCGGTGGGGTGCGGCGGCCCCGCGCGCCCGTCAGGAACACCACACGCTCCAGTCGATGCCCCAGAGTGCGGTTCACAGCCACGCCCAGCGTGGGCAACGTGGCCTGTGAGGTCAGTACTGCCACGAGCAGCCTCTGCCTAATGCCCAACTCCGTGCTGATGTAACGGGTCCTGGAGGAGGAGATTGGCACAAAGTTACCAAAAAGACCATGGGGACAGGCGGGAGTCGGTGCACGCAGGCTCCAGCAGGTCAGGTCTTCCCTGCGTCTGTTTCATCACCTATAAGCGGGACAAGAATGGTAACTTTCTTCCAGGGGTCATGAGGGTTTACGTGAAACACAGGGCTGCGTTTGCAAATGATGCGCCTGCTTCCTGGTTTCATTACTTGGTAGGAAGGTCCTTATTCTCCTTGAGCCATCTGTACAATGGGCCTGATTGTATCTATTGAAAGCACTTAGCCAGGTGATTGGCAACCCACGTATGCGGTAATTTCTACACTAAAGGCCCTTAGGCATAGAGGGGCCCTCCGGGTATTTGGAGGAGCGGCAAGCTGGGGCTTGGGGGGTGAGGGGTCCCACGAACAATCCTGCAAGTAAGTCCCGGGACTGGAATCTGAACTCAGTGTTACTTTGGAGAAATTACTGGAATTCAGAGGCAGAGAAGTTCACAGGACGGCACACCCTCCTTCCTCCATCTTACTCCCAGGCGGCCCTGATAACCCACCCAGGTAGAGATACAGGGACAGGCAAATCTTAATTCTCTCCCTTCCCCTTCCCTCTCTCTAAGCACTCACTCGGGGTACAGCCATTTCTCCAGCCCCAAGAACCGAGCTGGGAGCTAAGAGGATCCCTGGGGTCCCCTGGGGTGGAGCGGGTTTAGGACAGAGGCGGACAAGTTCAGTCCTGGGTGAACCGGGGCCCACTGAGGGCCTCCGAGCAGCCCCGCCGCTCCCGGGAAAGCAGGGCCATAGGAAGCTATCGGGGCCCAAAGACTTCCTGGCCGTCCAGCCCCTTCCTTCCGGAGCCTAACCCGGCCCCGGCGGCCTCCCCCGCGAACGTGCGCGCGCGCGCGCGCGCTCGTCCCGACCGGTGCCCAGGGGCTGGGGCCGGCGCAGCCGATCGCTACCTGACGGCCTTTTTGGCGGCCTGGCCGGGCTGTGCGGGGCGGTAAGGCAGGACACGCGGCTCCCAGTTCTCCCCGGCGCCGGCGCCGGCCCCGGGCCTGTCGCGCTCCGCTCCGGGCTGCACCGAGTTGGGCCGGCGAGCAGCGTTGGTGTTGCCGCGCGGCGGCAGCTCAGAGTCTCGGAAGGGGGCGGACCCAGGCCACTAGGCTCATTCACCAGGTAACGCTGAGCGGCTCAGCCTAAGACCCGTTAGTTGTCCCAGCTCCTGGCCTTCCGGGCGCACCCCCGGCAGCAGCAGGGATGCCCCATGGGTTCCAACCGCTAGCCCCGGCCCCCGCGCAGCCCCACAGCAGCCCGAGGAGGCTCCGAGGGGGCGGGCCCGGGGAGGGGGCGGATCCGGAGGGCCCGGGCCCAGCGGGCGGGCCCGCTCCCTCCCCGCCGAGCGGAGCCCGCGGCCGGGGCCGAATCCCGCGCGCCGCGCTCCGGGGCTCCTCCGGCTGCGCTTGGCGCCGGAGCTCGGCCGCCGCCGCTGCTGTCCGACGTGTCACTGCGAGGGCCCCGCCCCCAGGGGCGGGGTCTCCGGCTCCGGCTACCGGAGAGGGCGGAGAGGGGGGAGGTTAAAGGGGAAGGACCCCCGGAAGTGCCCCCTCCTCAGCGTGCGAGAGGGAGACGCCGGGGGGCGGAGTCGCCCGCCTCCCCCCGCCGGTTGGTGCGTCCCGGGTGACGTCAGAGGCAGCCCTCCCCTGCCGGTGGTGCGCCCTGAGTGACGTCAGGAGCCGCGGCCGGAGCTGTCCATCAGCACCAGAGGCCTCGGGCGGGCTCAGGGCATGGGGCCGCGGCTCTGGGGCAGCCCGAGCCCTTGCTCCTGCTCCTCTCCCTTTCCCAGGCCCGGTCCAAGTGCCCGGACGCCGCGGGACTGGAGTGCCAGGCGGTGTTGGAGGTGGAGCGGCGACGGCGCCGCGCAGAGACCGGGCTCCGCGGCCCAGCAGCCCCCTGCCCCACACGACGGACTTTCCCAGGACCTCAGTCAGTGGGAGCCTCTGGCGCCCCGCGACCCCGGCCCCTCCGGCGCCCGCTCGGCCGCTTTGGCTCAGAAGCTCAGGTCGCCTCCAGCGCAGGTAGATCTTGGACAATGCCAGATCCAGCCTCCCACAGACGGCTCTCCTGGCTGCCTCCTTCGCACCGCAGCGCGGCCGCCCTCGTCCCGCCCGCCCCCGGTCCCCCTTTTAACTTCGTGCCAGCCCCTCCAGCCGGGCACTCTGGCTTCCCTTTGTCTTTGCTCCCCGAGCCGCATGGTGTGGGCACCACTCCTTTGTCCACCGTGTCCTTGCTGAGCTCTCCCACTCCCACTCCCATCCTGGTGGGAGCCCGGGACTCCTCCTTGACCCCAGCTCCTTGTCTGTCAGGTGGACCTGGGAGGGTGACCCCTCTGGCTTCCCAGCACTATGCCGGGCACTGCGGCGACACTGCGATTCCAGCTGCTCCCCCCCGAGCCAGACGATGCCTTCTGGGGTGCGCCTTGTGAACATCCCCTGGAGCGCAGGTACCAGGCGCTGCCGGCCCTCGTCTGCATCATGTGCTGTTTGTTTGGAGTCGTCTACTGCTTCTTCGGTGAGATCCCCGGCTCATCCCTCACTTGTTTTCCCAAGTTCTTTCTCTGCCCTCTTCCACTCTTTTCCAGAACCCACTACCACCACTGTGAGCGACTTGCTTTTCTGTCTTTCATCCCACAGCGTTTGTAAGTCTTCTAGACTCTAGAGAACACAGGTTTTTGAATTGGACACACTTGAGTTTGAACTTGGCTTTGCACTTTACTAACTGTAATGCCTTGGGCATAGTAACCTGAGCCTCAGTTTTCTCATCTGAACAGTGGGGACAATGACATTTGTCTTACATTAGGTCGTTAGAAAAATTAGTAGGTGCTAAGTAGAAGCAATTTTTAAAGATTTGTTTGAATCATTACTCTAAGAAGGCACTGACAATTCTCAGGAGAGTCATTAAGCCTGATCCCTTACCACAGGGCATATTGTCTGGTGGGGAGAGACTCCTGAAACAGTGACACCTGTGACATGGGCCAGAGTGGGCCGGGTGGCAGCCACACACACAGAGATTCCCTACCAGGCAGGCTGGAGCAATCAGGCAGGCTGTGAACAGTTGTACAGGATGAGTACTGCACAAGAAAGCTCAGTTGTATGGGCAAGAGGGGGTTGAAATCTGGCTTGTGCTCTACTCACAGTCCAGGCTGCTTTCCCTTTCTCTAATTTGCACAAAGGTGTCACATGGACTAGTGGGAGCCTGGAATGAGTGGTCAGTGGTTCTACAGAAAGCGTTAACTGAACTTCAGAGAGGACAGTGGGTGCCACGGACTGGGGGTCCAAGGGAAGCCTGTGGTAGGAGGACTGTGGATCAGAACTGGCGCAGGCAAAGGAGGCTGGGAAGTTTGGGTTTTAGACCAGGCAGAAATGGGGCAAGACTTGTGCTCTGCCCCCTCCATCCCTCCTCCTGGAATGGGTGGGCAGACAGGGATGGGAGCCAGACAGTCCTTTCCACCCCCAGACTCTGGGCTGACTAGCTGCAGAGTGGGTAGGATGCAGTACCCCCGCTAGGGTGCAGGATGCACTCCGGGCCTCCAGGGAGTCTGTGTCCTCTCACCTCTGCTAGCCACATGCAGCCCCTCTGCCCTCTGCCTGGCGCTTGGTGCAGCCCTGTATCCCTGTCCCGGGTTCCCAGCACCCTGCCCCTCTGCAATGCTTCCACTCCCAGCCTCCTCCTTTCTGTGGCCCAGAACCTCCTGGATTCTTACTCCCCTCATGCCAGGAGCGGAATCTCCTCTTCACTGTCTTTGACCCTTCGATCCCCATCTCTGACTTCCATCTTCCCAGCTGTTCAGGATCTACACCTCCCTCCCCCTGCAGGCACGGTTAATGGGCCTGCAGGTGGTATACTCGTCTACTCTGCTTTTTTTCTGGAAGCCCCACAGCCACTGCTTTCCCTGTAACCCTGAGTTCTGACACTTCAACAGCCCTAATGACTTGTAGCTCCCTCATCAGCTTCCACCCACTGCGCCCCTCTGCGAGCCCAGCTCTGCTCCCTGGGCTCCAGGACTCCATCAGCCGATGGCCCCTCCCCACGCTGACATCTTGATGACCCCATTTCCCTGGCCTCTGTGATACTGCCCTCAGACACCCTGTTCTGCTCTCAACGACTCCACTTCCGCCACTCCCCCGACCTGCCCGGACTCTTCCCCGACATCCCGGCTTCTCTGAGACCCCAGGTGATGCTTCATTTCCAAAGCCCTGTGGCCCCTCGAAGGCCTGATCCTCCTGAACCTGTGTGACCGCCATCTCTCAGACTCTGACTTTGGAAAAGCTTTCTGTACCGCGCCTCCCGGACGCCCCAGTCACTGCTGCTCAGCCCCCTGCCGTCCCAATGACCCGCTTCCCTGACTCCTGGGACCCGGAGACCCCCGGTGCCCCATTGCTGATTCACTCTGGACGGCAGTGATCTCAGACTGCCCTGGCCATCAAAGACCCCCAACTCCCAGAGACCCCCAGCTCATTTTCTCAATGGTGACTCTGTTTTGCCGGTGAGCCCGATGCCTGTCCGATTGCCCTGACCCAGCGGGTCCATCGCTGATGTCCTCAGGACCCCACTGACCGCCGACTCCCTGATCTTAGTGTCTCTATCTCGGGCTCCCCCGTGACCCCAGGGGGGGTCCCTTCCTCCCGCCCAGGGACCTCCTCCCAGCCCCTCACCAGCCCCTGTTCCCCTCCAGGTTACCGCTGCTTCAAGGCGGTGCTCTTCCTCACTGGGTTGCTGTTCGGCTCCGTCGTCATCTTCCTGCTGTGCTACCGAGAGCGGGTGCTGGAGACGCAGCTGAGCGCCGGGGCGAGCGCGGGCATCGCGCTGGGCATCGGGCTGCTCTGCGGGCTGGTGGCCATGCTGGTGCGCAGCGTGGGCCTCTTCCTGGTGGGGCTGCTTCTCGGCCTGCTGCTCGCCGCTGCCGCCCTGCTGGGCTCGGCGCCCTACTACCAGCCGGGCTCCGTGTGGGGCCCCCTGGGGCTGCTGCTGGGGGGCGGCCTGCTCTGTGCCCTGCTCACGCTGCGCTGGCCCCGCCCACTCACCACCCTGGCCACCGCCGTGACTGGTGCTGCGCTCATCGCCACCGCCGCTGACTACTTTGCCGAGCTGCTGCTGCTGGGGCGCTACGTGGTGGAGCGACTGCGGGCCGCCGCCGTGCCCCCTCTGTGCTGGCGGAGCTGGGCCCTGCTGGCGCTGTGGCCCCTGCTCAGCCTGCTGGGCGTTCTGGTGCAGTGGCGGGTGACGGCTGAGAGGGACTCCCACACCGAAGGTGAGCGGGCAAGGGCCAGGGGTGAGAGGGGGGCTGTGACTGAGGGCTGGGGGCAGAAGCCGTGCACGCCAGCGGCAGAAGGCATGGGAGGTCAGGGCCCCTGTGCCATCCTTCACCCCACAACAACGTGTGAGCCATCAGCTCCGGGCCAACCCCATTCCAGGCACTGGGGGTACAGCAGAGAAAAGACCCCTGTCCTTAGGGATGTACAGCTGGGGTGGGTGCAATCAGACAGGCAAACAGACCAGATGATTCCAGCTGTGCAGAGTGCCATGAAGGAGGTGCACAGAGTTATATGAATGAATGACCCTATGGAGGCTGTTCTAGTCAGGGTGGTCAAGGAAGGCTGCCTGGAGGAGGTGACATGTTAAACAGAGACCCAAAGGATTTAAGAGCTGGAGAAGAGGAAAGGGCCCAGAGAAGAAACGAGCTTGGCTTGTTTGGAAGGTGGGAGGTGAGATATGGAGACAGACCCATCGTGTTTTTGATGCAATGTCATCGGAGGGTTTCAAGTCAGGGGAGGCAATGATCTGACCTAGTGTCTGGGGCGCTCGTTCTGCCGCTGAGTGTGGAAAGCGCTGGAGGGAGGCAAGTGTGGGGCGGGGATTCCGGGAGGAAGCAGGGCCGTGTCCTAGGAGAGTCACCCATGGCTCCGGACTGGGTGAGGGATAACAGCTGTGGGGATCCCACCCTGGGGGGCGGGGCAGGAGACGGGCAGGGCCCAGGTGGGAAGGCGGAGCGAGGGCCTCTGAGCCCCCTCCTCTGCCCCTCCCTCCGCAGTGGTCATCAGCCGGCAGCGCCGCCGCGTGCAGCTGATGCGGATCCGGCAGCAGGAAGAGCGCAAGGAGAAGCGGCGCAAGAAGAGACCCCCTCGGGCTCCCCCCAGAGGCACCCGGGCTCCTCCCAGGCCTGGGCCCCCAGACCCTGCGTACCGGCGCAGGCCAGTACCCGTCAA